GTGCAATCCATTCAGCTTCTTCGTTAGAAACGAAGCTCGGAGCTTTTTCTATTTTTTCTTTTTTTTTTTAGAGGGAGAAAAAATAATAATAATAATTTCTCGCATTGGACTTGCGCGCGCGCGAGCTCGACTCTCGGCATACTTTTTTTCGCAGCTGTAAAATACTAAAACTGATAGCTCGACGGTGATATCGCGGGGATAGGGAAAAATTTCCTTCGCAATACCTGGAGAGAGAGCTGCAAAGAGAGAGAGTCACGCTATATATAAAGCGCCTTACACACTCGGCGCCGGAGCGAGTAGTAGTACGTATAGTAGGAAAAACTACGCCCCAAACAGCGTGTGGGCGAAAGCATCCTCCATAAATCGCCACATTATCTTATCTGGAGCGAGCGAGTTGCGCCCATGGCTTTTTTCAACCTGTTGTTTGCGTTCGTTCGGCGCGCGAGCACACGGCCCAATGGCCAGCGGTGTAGTACGGCATACAGTTGTAGCCCGCAGCTGCAGCAGTGCATCAGTTGCAGTACGTACGTACTAGGCAATCTCGCAGTTGGCGAGCTCGCAATTAAAATAAAGATAGCGCGCGCTGCTCGCGGGATACTTTACTTATGACACGCGTGGATCGGCCGTATTCGTATATTCGTTCGGCCGCGACTTAATCAGCGCGCGTGTCTGGGCGGTGGCGGTGGCAGCGACGTCGAGGCTAGCGAAATGGAAGCGAGATCGTTTGCCCGCGCGCGCTGGTAACAGGCTGCCACAATTCTCTGCGGTCTCTGCAGCGCTCTTCTATACATATACGCCCGCAAGCACACAAGTTTTGCCAGTTTGTATAGAGGTTCGCGCGCTTGCGTGTGTGTGTATGTATATATTTATTGCTGCACCTATATACGCGGCATATACGTAGGTGTACGTACACGCAGTGCTCGGAGTTTACGCGCGCGTGGCACAGTGGTATGGTTCGCAGCTAGAGCCTGGCTTTTTTCAATCGGGCAAAATTCTAATCGAACGACTTTTCGCGCGCGCATACGACGCAGCACAGATTTATATATAGCTATATATGTACGTGGACTACGCGCGCAAGTGTACGAACTCGGAGTTGCTGCTGCTACCCCCTGCAGAGCCGCGTCGAGTGGACCGTTAGCAATTTACACTCGGAGGATTATTTACGATGGGCGACGCTGTACAGGCCACGCTGTATATGTATATATATATGCGCTATGCATGCTACGGCATATATATCGTGCGGATCGGGTGCAACTATAACAATAATGCACGCGCTTGATTTTATTGACCGACAATGTGGCCGACGCTACACACGTATCTAGCAATGCTCACGCGAGCGTTGGCCGTTTTTTTTCTCTCGTCCCTGTTACTCTCTCTCTCTCTCTCTCTCTCTCTCGCTCGTGAACTCGGTGCTCTACGGCAGTTATTGTTATTTCGACGGGGGGTAGCCGGTGCTTTTTGTCCAGACTTCATTTCCGAGCCAGCGTGGCTGACGACGACGACGACGACGACGACGCAGCGAGACCAACGACGATGAGGCAGCAGCAGCGTCACGCACGGAAACGTCGATATTTTACGTGACTTTTGCAGTCGATGATACATGACACGAGCGCTCTTTGCGCGCGTACTCATCCTCCTCCTCCTCCTCCTCCCTCTACTCTACTCTCTCCCAATCTATCTATATACTCGGCGCGCGCGCTGCTACTGACAAACAACCCGCCAACAAACTGCATCGCGCGTTTTGTGTTTTGTTTTGCTTTTTGTCGAGCGGTGCAACATATTAACTACTATAAAGCGCGCGCACCGTTCGTCGTCGTCGTCGTTGCGTTGTTGTTGTTGTTGTCGATGGGCCGCACTCGCTCATCCGCCCTCGCAGGCCGTTATGGCGCGTATATAACGGGTAGCATCAGGTTATCGGCCGACCCGTGCGAAGCGCGACGGGGACAAAAATAAAAATAAAAGTAGAAAAAAAGCTCGCGACTCGTTTACTTATACTACTCATTTATCGGACTCGACGACGACGACGACGACGACTACGACTACGGAGGAGCTATATCGAATGAAGCGCGCAGCAGCGACTCGTGCAATCGGAAAGATTATAAAATGTTACCTCGTATTTCACAAGTTTACCCTTCCTCCCCCGCCGCTGCCGCCGCTGCCACCCGTCTCGCTATAAACTATGCATTCTCTGCATCGAAGGGGGAAGGCAGCAAACTTTATCAACTTTACTCGACGAGAGAAATTTTTCGCTCAAATTAAGAAGTTAAACGTTTCTCCGGGCACAACTTTCGCGTTTCTCTTATTTGACTTGTGTGCGCCGCCGCGGTAGCAGCCATTGTAGGAAATTATCAATAAAAACAGCGTATATAATCACTCGCCGCAGAATGTTATATACCGTCCTAAATTTTACGCTCCGACGCCCCCTGCCCCGCCCGTCCTTTCCCCCTCTTCCTTCCTCTGGCTCCGTGCGCGGCTAATATTTTACAGAAGAATAGCGTATATATGACGGTCTATCGCACTGCCACCGCGATTATTTACAGCTGCTATATATGTATTGGACTGACAGCGTGTGACGACGCCCACACCACCCTTCGTGCGATGGATCGACGTTTTTTGACAACTTATGAAAAGTTGGAGAGCCGTATAATCCGCGTGGCGAAATGTCAACCCGATATACGTATACGGAGCAGCGGCTCCTGCCATATCAATTTTAATACGAGGCCATGAAAACTCGCAATCGTACTTCTGCGGGCAAAAATGCAAATTCGTCCGTCGTCGCCGTGGCGCTGCTATAAAAGGCGCACAAAGGGGCGCAGCGGCAGCAGCAGCAAGTGCACAGGGAAAAAGGTTGAAGAAAAATGTACTACTCGTCGCAGCCGAGAGTCGGCCACAGCAAGATAGAGATATAGAAAGAGCGTATATGTGTATAAGGATGATGACACCGAACGGACTCCTGCCGGGTTTTGCCTAATCAGCGGATTTCGAAATTCCGTATTCAACGCCTGTGCGCACGGCCTGACTTTTTATTTGCTCTTATCACTGCTCTGGAAAAGGCATAAAAAATTCATGCGCGACGCCTCTCTCTCTCTTTCTCTCTCGCGCTGCTATACCCACCGTAAAATCCGCTGCGCAAGAATGTTTCTCGTAACTATTAGGGCCGCTACATAATAGCCTTAGCGAGCAAAAGGAGGACTATAGCTGAGCTGCGGCGTGGGGGGAGAGGGTGGGAAAAAAGGTCACTCGCGGCCATCCAAACTTTTTCATCGGAGCTCTCTTTTTATTGCACTTTGACGGACGTTCTCTCTCCTTCTCTCTCGCGTATACGCTGCGGCGATAGCAGCACGTGTAGCGCCGTAAAAACGTACTCCCGTAAAATAGCCGCCGCACGGCGACGGCTACTATATGCTGCTGCCTTTACTCCGGCGAGGGGGCCCATATGCGCGCACCAACACACCGTTCTCATTCGCGTTCGCAGCTCACCTATACATACACACACACGCGGCACCTATATATATGAGTCTTAACAATATTATTGCCAGCCAACTCGCTGCACATGTTGCTCGCGAATTACAAGCGCACAGCGCAGCTTCGTGCGAATATTCTCGCCTATATATACTTGTACCTGGCTGCGTCCCATATAAGAGATTTTAGATCGCGCGCTTGCAAAAGTATCTCGTTCAAACTCGATCGTACAAGCTCTTTAAGATCGAGCGAGATTCGATGCATTTCTCAAAGTTTGCGAAAAAAAGAAAATGAAAAAAAAAAAAAAATACTTATTACTTTTGCTAACGGTCATTCGACTACGGCGTGCCCATATTGCATTATATATAAGTTCGATCGTTCAAGAGGTTTTTTCCCTCTTTTACCTCTCTCGGGGTATTTCCTTCTTACACTTTTTTACGTCGTTGCTCTCGTCGTAAAGCAAAATTAAGCCTTAATAGAGGATTTCGACGATGATAATGTAAAACTCAGCCCATAAATGTCAATGTATATACGTATACGTAGTCGCGCGTGCAGAGCTGCAGTAACCACACGTACGTAACATCGTCAATTAAATCCAACGACGATCGGTTAAATTTTGTATGACTTTGGCGGTTATATATCGCACAAAAGTTATACGTTTTAATAGATTCTCCCCTGCGCCGAAAATTGGTAACGCTGACAGACTAATTTCAACTACAAAGGTTCGACACGCGGCGCGCTCAGTCGCTACTGTTAATGCGGCGCCAGCAGCAGCGGGGATGGGACTCGAATCAAGAAAAGGTAAATACATAGGAAAGTTATAACCCATTCGGTAATTATTTAAATGATTCGAATTGTGGGTATACTATTTGGGTGGGAGAAACTTTTGCACAAGTTCAATATTATTACAACTCCTATCTCGTATAATTTCACACACCAATTTGGGATGGCTTTTAACTTTCCGACAAAAAAATTCGAGACTTGATCTTTTACGTGCTTTACCGCGTTTGCGTTATTCATATTTGTTAAATTGCATTTAATCACGAGTAAAATCAATATTGACGGTATAATTTAATGGTACTCTAATATATTGTCGTTTTGATTTGATTTTGCGATGAAAATATTCATTTAAATTTAAAATGATTTTTTCTCTTGTTTTGATTATGATATTTTGATGTACAATGCAGCAGTAAAAGCCGTAATGTTTATATTTATGAATAATACTCATATATTCGATGATTCCAAGGTATTATTATTGTAAACACTTAAAAATACACTTGAGAAAGTTTGAAGATAAATTTCAAACTGACGAAGTACGCGGCTTTTAAACAATGAATAAAGAGTGTTTACGTTCGCGGTCACTCGAGAGAAAGTACAAACAGTGGGTAACGCAGAGGCACACACAAAGTTCGAGAACTGGAACAGTCGAGAATATAATAACAATAATTGGGCGCGTTGCATTCGCACATAGCGCAAAAAAGGCAAAAGATATAATTAATAGATAAATGTATAAGGAATAAAAAAGTGGTTGTACGAACCTTGCGAGATGGTGAACAGGACGAAGGCAGCAAAGAGCGAGGACCGAGCGAAGCCCAGGCTAACCATGATATAGCCGCGTTGATCCGGTCAGCGGCGGAGCGAGTCAAAGTGATGAAGATAAAAAAGGATTTCCAGGGAGCAGCAGCATAAATTGACCGAGACTAGGATTCGACATGAATCGAGAGTGACATATCGGAGCACAGGTGCGAGAGAGAGAGAGAGAGATTGAGAGAGCTAGCTCGATCTTCGGTCGAATCACTTGCCACACGTGCTCTTCGGCTTCACAACAACGAGGAGGTGCAATCGAGAAGATCGTCGAGCTGGAGGAGGCTCGAGCTATGTCACACGATGGATGCCTCCAGGGCAGCTCATGCTGGCGAGATCTTCATTCGAGAGCAGTTTTAAAAGCAGTTTCCAAGTTGAAGATTCGTGAGAACGAAGACGAAGTCGTCGGTCGGTGGCAAGCAATTTTGTTCATGGCTCAACCTTACAGGTCACTGATCCTCCAGTTATCTGCGGCCGAAGAACGATCGATCGGAGAACGCACGCTGCACAGTTTGGTGATCGGTCGAACTCTTTGGCGCGCGCGGGGCCCTGAGAGCTGCAAGCTCCGCCGAAACCTTGTAGGAGAAAACGTAGCAACTCTTTGGCGGGCCACTCGCAAAACTCGCGGGAATTTGTTATTATTTGGATTGGATAAAACAGACGCGAAAGCTCAGGAGAGAGAGAGAGAGAGAAAAGCTCGCGCGCAGATCCGAGCGACTCGAGCTCGCGCGACGCACTGAGGCGAGCGGCGAACACGTTGGCCTCTCGCGATGACGACGACGACGACGACGACGAGCAGCAGCAGCAGCACACGGAGGGCTGTCGCTTCTCTCTCGCTCGCATTCGGACGCGCGAAAGAGCTATGTGGATGCGCGCGGCGCCAACACGCCATTCCCTCCCTTTCTGTGAGAGCGCGAGGGGGATGAAAGAGAGAGAGAGAGAGGGGGGGGGCAGGGGGGATCAGGAAGGCACACACAGAGAGGCAGCTGCACCGAACCCCTCTTCCATCGAGAGAAAGGCCACGAGGTTCCTTGGAGTTGGAGGCGGCCGCAAGCTCTCTCTTTCTCTCTCTATCTCTCTGGCGATGAGCTTGCGCGCAACTTGCACGGCCAGCAGCAGCAGCAGCAGCATACAGACAAAGCACGTGCGGGCACGTGCACTATCCCCCCGCTCACGGCAGCAGCAGCAGCAGCAGCAGCAGCAGCAGCTCAACGGCACTTTTGCCTACATTCGGCCAAACTTATGACCTCCGAGGGGTCATTAGCGCACCTGCTAAAGCCGAAAGTGCACGCTGAGGGACCGCAAGAGCGCGGCCAGGATCTGCAGGGCACACAAACACACACACACACACACACACACACACACACATACATGGCCACGTCCCTAGAAGACCGTTCGGGCTCTTTGGGGGAACGCAGCTCTTTGCCAACATAACGGGCGCGTTCATGCATCGTTTACAACCTCTGAGATCATAGTTCGCTGCTGCTGCTGCTCCAAATCGGATGCATTGCGCTAGTTACGATGCCGTACGCAGCCTTATACTATACCATCGCTCGTAATGTGGGCCGAAATACGTGTGATGCAATTTTCAGCTTATATTCCCGGAGCAATCGACCAAGTTCATTGCTAACAATCATGCAAGATGCACTTTTACGAGCCCACAGGTGCAGCGCTTTGAAGCCACGCGCAGCTGATTCCCTTGGAAAAAATCTCGTTTATTGCGGTCGGAAAACTATTATCGATAAGGAGAGCTCGATTATCTTCGATTACGAGCAACGTTTCGGATTGCAGCGTCGTTCGCATATATATAACCGCGGCCTCGATGCGACTCCCGTGTCCTATGCGCGTACGTATTCATACGTATTAATAACAACGAACGCGCGCGCGCGGGGCATCCGTTACTCATGGCTTTGGCGCAAAATAGCGATCGCCGTGCGCCGGAAGCCAATAATCCGTACATTGAGCATGCATAATGAAAAAGCGCGAGCATCGAATCCGCAGGCAGCTGCTCTGCTCTGCTCCGCGCCGTTGCTCGTTGGGCCTGTGCACGCACGAATGTAGGCCGTTTATCGAGGAGCATTAACGAGTGTGCCGTACTGGCAGTAAACGCCCTGCAGGCGACGAGGCCGATCTACCGCGAGCTGGCGTATATACGCGCGCGGATATTATGTGCCTGTGCTCCACGCGGTGCTGCAGAGCAAAGCCGGCTTCAGCCTCTCTCTCGACCTGTGTGTATGTGTGCCGCCATGGGCGATGCGTATATACACAACGCCAGTGTATCAGATGCACAAACCTCCACGATACACACGAGGCAGCAGCGGCATATACGCGACAAAAACGGATTATGGTCGACGGATAAACAAAGCGGGGCCGCCCGGCCGATTCGAGCGATGAAAACCATAAATACAGAGCGACATCATCAGCGCGATCGACCACCACCCCCCGGAGCAGTCGTCGGATGCAATGAACAAAAGTCCATTTCACTTACTGGCTGCTGCTGCTGTATCGGCTATTGTTTATATGCCACGCGGCGCGGCGCATCACGCGCGCAGCAGCAGCCTTGACAGTTGCTGCAGGCGTATAGCTGATGTATATTTACACCGACTGCGTACATATATCCATAAGGCAGCAGCAGCAGCCGCGTTTCCCAATAATGAGCCACGAAATTTCAATTGCTCACGGCGAAGTGCAGCGGTATGCATGGAATAGCTTGACTTTTGAGACCGCGTTTGCGTGCAAAGATCGGCGAGATTTTTTTTCACTTTTTTTTTCCTTTTTACCTTCCGAGCTTTTGCAAAATAAAAAAAGAATACAGCTGTTTCGATCGATAAAACTAATTTACTCATATATCGGCGCTACGCGTTATTTTCGGAGCACAGATTTTCTCGTTGCCTCCTTCGAAATATACGAATAACATTTTTACTGACTTTATCCCGGAACGGCAATTAAACCTTTCAATCGAATCCTATACATTCATTTGAAAATCCTATCAAACATTAATAGTTATGTTTTATTTTTAAAAATTCCAACTGCTAGACTTTTTGCAGTCTAGAACATTAATTATTCACTTAAAAATGACATTTCCTAGCCTTCAAGTAATATACGTAGCCAATTTGAAACCGAATTTTATCAATCGTACTTTTTTTCAATAAAATAACATTTTTGAGGCAAAGCTTTACTTTAAAACTGATTGATGACGTACATTGCCTTTGACTTTTGCAAATCTTTAACTCCAACGACTGTTTTCTTATGTACATAAGTTAATTGTATGCGTATTACCGATCCAAAATTTTAAATTATCCATTACTTTAAGAAAATACTGTAAAAGTACATTTTTCTTATGTGAAAGATCTCATTGGAAAGACTTTTCTTCATCACAATGAAAAAATTTAAAACGGGTGTGAAAACTTGTTGAATTGATTAATCTGAGACACATCTAGAGTGAGCTATAAATAAATAAGAAACTTGGATTGAATCGCCTTTATTATGAAGTCGATTCTCTTTTAATTTATGTAGTCAATCCAAACAGCTGATTTTTACATAATTGCTCTATTCACTCGATAAAATTCACATCTTTTTGTGAAAGTAAATACAAAAATAAACAGAAGCCATTCGTCGAATCAACAGTTTATCTCTTCGAAACTTATTTGAAACGAATAAAATAAAATATTGACTGGATATCCGATTACTATATGCAAAACGAGGAATTTATGAAAAATATATATCCACGCAATACACAAAATGTTCATCGCGCGATGATTTATTGAATAATTAAATGCTAATTATATTTTAAAAGACGTGAGAGAAAAAATTTTTGCAGCGAATTAAAGAATCGTGTACAACAATTCAATGACGGAATTGATTATTCATGAAGAATCGACTGATTCGATTATCAAATCAGCGAAACGAGCTACGAGCGCCCGAAAAATGCAAATGAGATCGCGTAAAATATACCGAAAAAGGTGGCAGCTCGGCGGTGGCGGCGGCGATCGATCGCTGAAATAATTTTGATTTTGTCAGAACATCCGAATATAGTGTACAGTCGTGTATAGTAAGTGCAGCCAATCCACCAGGGGGAAGGCATTAGAGAGAGAGAACGAACCGATATAGACAGTAGAGGGTCAATTTTACAGGGCAGTGTACCCCCGGCAATAGCACAGCAGTATCGTACGTATATATACACACACATACACATACACTAGAGAAACAAAGTAATACTCGTCGGTCGAGGTTTATTCGACCTGCTACCTATAGTAAATGAATTTATATATATGTACGTACATCGGCGGTGAGCGAGAGGGAGAGAGAGAGGCACTGTGTGACACGCGTATCGTATATATCTATATGTATATAAATACAACAGTGTTTGACGACGATTACTGAGACAATTTCATTTTGCATTATCCCCGATGAAACGGCTCTCTCGCTCGCTGTTCGGTTCGGTATCACTGCAGCACTACTACTACTACTACTGCTGCTGCGCCCGGTACGAGCAGCAGCAGCAGCAGCAGCTCCCCTGTAATTTCCCAACATTTAGTGAATTTCCCTTCGGAATATACTGCGAATTCGCTATTCGTCTATCATTTAATCCGGTTTAATTGAAATTTCCACCGCTGCGCGTCGTCGTCGTTACCACCCGACTCCGGAGCTCGACGCCAGAAAAATGATCAAGTTAATGGCAAAAAAGTAAGTCAGTTTTTCGCTCGTCGTCGTCGTCGTTTTCATCCCTTATAGAATCATAATATATCGCGGAAATGTTACGCGCGCGCGACTTTGCGCTAGATTTAATATATCACGTAAGCGCGAATATATTGTCACTCGGATTGAGCGGACACGCTGCTGATGTCGGAAAAAAAGTAAAGAAGCAAAAAAAAATAATGTAACAGCGAATTTTTCCCACGATTGGCGTGAAAATCGAATTTTTCTCGAAGAGCAACATATGAAATAGGGGTTGAGAACATACGACGTCACACACGCGCACGACTACGACGACGCAGCTCTAGATCTTGTGCCTCTTTATACGTATATAGAGGAGGGGAAAAATGAAGCGCTATATAATATAGCGGCGCGGTTAACTCGGGTGACTCGGAAGGCGGTGGCGGCAGAGGCATGCACGTAAGAGTCGGCGGCGTATAGGCTGCTGCTGCTCATAAGCTGATTTTCTCGGCGCTATTCATCGGGAGCTCGGCTTTAGTGTGGCGTTTGCTGCTGCTGGTGCTGCCGGTGCGCGCGAGCATATAGAGCTTGCACATAAAACGAGGCCCCCGCATATACTACATACACACGGGGCTTGCTTGCTTGCTTGTGTACACGTAGGCGCGCGACTACGTGATGCGTGTGCGAGCAAGAAATAATCCCGAAGCGAAGAAAGTCCCTGGCAACACGCGCGAAACGCGACTCGAATGCCAAGCGCGCGCGCGCGAGAGAGAGAGAGAGAGAGCGCCGGAGCTTTTTCACCCAGCTGCCTCGGAATCCGCCGCCGCCACCACCGCATCCAGTACGCTGCAAGCGCAAACTTCCTTCTGTCGTGCTCTCGCGACTTATTTAAAAAAATTCCACACGGCTAATATGGCACAGAGCTGCGTAGCTATACTACGACGCTGCTGCAGCGGCGTCTTCGTTACAATGTACCCGCTCCACTAGTCATAAGTAGAGCAGCAGCAGGGCCGCATTTCGTAATTTCAAGTCAAACAGCTACTCTCGCGAGCTCGAGCTCG